AAAAAAAACACGTATCCAAATTTGATCCTAGTTGCTTCAAATGAATTTTCAGCCCTTGTATCCTCAAGATGTCTAGAAAGAGAACATTTGGAAATTTTGCGTCTATGACAACTTTTGTTCTACTCATCGAGAAACCTCGGAAAAGAAGGACGTTCCCCTAAGCACTCGTTTTTTTTATATATTCATCCTCGTAGAATTAGGCTTAGTTTGGAGAAATTTTTTTCTTATAATTTTGGTTCCGCACATTTTTCTACTGACATTTTTTAATTTACCATCTTCATTTGAATCGATGAATACAAATAATTGTGAATTTCTTTCTTTTGCTTCTTGTAAATGTTGATTAACATTAACATCAGCACAATATAAAACAAACAAATTCTTTCATACTCATTAAATATTTCTTCGAATTTTTTATTTCTTTTTTTTTTGTTCATCATGTTGAATATTCGATTCAAACAATTCATAATTATCCAAAAATATCCCCTTATGAAAATCTGGATTAATCTTTCCATCACGTTCTAATGGTAAATCTTCAATATGTTTATCAACTTTTAAACTATGAATTCCAAAATCTTTTAAATCTTTTGCAGTTTTTGTTAAATTAAATTTTTTCAGTGCTTCAAATTTCGGTATGATTCGTGAAATACGTAAAGCCGTTGGTAATTTATTCATATGATATTTCGAAAGTATAGTACGTTTTCCTGCATTTAATACACTATTCGAATAACAGATGCATTTCCATTAATTGGCAAAGTATCAATACCAATATTAACAATAAAAAATAGATATGAAAGTTTTACTAATATATTAATCGTTTTATCTAGAAAAAACAATCATATCAATGAAATTAATCTTGTCGTAAACCCAAATATATACACATGACCAGCAAAAAAAAAACTAATCGATGCCCGATAAATTTGAATACAAGTAATTGTACCCAAAACAATATCAAGATTTTGAATAAAGCAATAGAACTAAATGCTTTGTCTAGAAATATTACCATCAATATATTCATTAGAAAAGATTTTCCTCATACCTTTAATTACTCTTAAACATACAGGAAAATAAATATCAAACACCATCGAAGGGATCGGTATATCAAAAAGAAATCATTTTTTTCTATAAATTTCTTTTCTACCTCCAAAAATCATCGCTTTATTGTGTTCCGAGCAAATGCAAATAATATTAGTCCTGCTAATGAAAGACATAAAGATCATTGATTTTCCATCGTCGTCTTAATAATGCTAAGAAAATTAATGCGAAACGAGTTCCTAATTATTCACAAGTAAAATAAGCTGCATATTGTGTATCATTAAATGACATTCAATGTAAATATAAATAAAAAACTGATGATGAACCCATATGAAACAGTTCATAGAAAAACAATGATAAAAGTAGAACAATAAATAATAATAATGATGATGATTCGAACATGTTGTTCTTTTTCACTACATACATCAATAGCATAACTAAAACATGAACTAAATAAAAAAAAACATTTTCTTTTTTTTTTAATTTTATTATAAATAACATACGAAATAAGAATTAATGTTCCTTCACCAAATCCATTGACAATATTTGCTAAAATATAAAGTACTAAATATGTTTTTGTATCTCGAAAAATACTTTCAATTGTAATAATTATCCGTGTTATGATTACATTTCATATTGTTAAAACAATAGGTAATTTTTGATTTTTTGTATCTGATAAACTTCCACCAATAGGTGAAATAAAACAAGCGATTATTGCAAAAGATAATATCCCATAAAAGAATCATTGGGAACTTTCTTTTTGAATAGGTTCTTGTGATAGATGAAGTGATTTATTGTAATCAATTTCAGAACAAAATGATTCATTTGCATGAAGAAGACAAACAGTTGAATAGATTAAAGAATTTGTTGCACAAAGAAAAAGATTAAATGAACACAAACAAAAGAAAACAAATTAGTAAAACTACACGAATTCAACTCGAAGACGAAAGAAACTTCAATCATTATTTAAACAAAAAATAATAAATGTAAAATGAACTCTACTATGACTACTTTCTCAAGGTTTGATCAAAGAATTTATGAGTAAGCAACGAATAATGATAGAGGCCGAGTCATTGTTGAATTTTTCTTTTAGTTAAAATCAGATTGAATTCGTAAACTATCATGTAAGAAAACAAATTTCTTTAAAGCTGATGTTAATGCACTCGAAGTACCAGTATTCAAACGTTTATTAGCAATAATTCGTGCACAAAAGCATTTGAGACGATCTGGAGTTGGTTTTGTTGTAAACAAAGCTTTAATCTCTTTATCATATGCATAATCTGATGGAATTTTTCCATCTTTATTCACACAATCCATATGATATCCAGAATTCAAAAGTAATTTAATGATCTTTTGATCTCTATTTCTTTTGCATATGATATGAAGAGGTGTATCACCAGAAGAAGATTCGATTTCATCTAAATCAAGCCAACGATTTCCACAAGCCAATAACAATCGAAGTGCAGATTCATTCGGAAATCTAAAAAAAAACAAAATTCTTCATAAATCTATTAGGAACATGAGAATCTCACACTTACGATAAATGAATACTATTCATTAACATTCTATTCATCTCTTTGATTCGCTTCGAAATGGTAGAATATTGTTGAATCTAGGAGTAAACATCATATGACAAATGAGTCCTATTCAGTATTAATCTATTCATCTATTTAATTCGCTTGGAAGTGGTAGAATGATGTTCAGTCTATGAGTAAACAGCGTATCACAATTGAATACTGTTCAAGAACATTCCATTCATCTCTTTGACTCGGTTCCAAGTGGTAGAATTATGTTGAATATATGAGTAAACATCATATGAAGAATGAATACTATTCATTAACGTTCTATTCATATCCATGATTTACTTCGAAGTGGTAGAATCATGTTTAAACCATGAGTAAACATCATTTGAGCAGTGAATAATATTCACGAAGATTCTATTCATCTCTTTGACTCGCTTGCAGGTGGTACAATGATGTTGAATCTATGAGTAAACATCACATGACAAATGAATGCTATTCATTAGCATTCGAATCATTGTTTTGATTCGCTTCGCCGTGGTCGAATGATGTTGAATCCGTGAGTGGACATCATATGACAAATGAATAGTATTCACAAAAACTCTATTCATCTCTGTGATTCGCTTTGAAATGGTGGAATAATGATCAATCTATGAGTAAACATCATATGACAAATGAATACTATTCAACAGCATTCTATTCATCTCTTTGATTAGCATCGAAGTGTTATAATAATGTTTACTCTATTGGTACACATCATATAACAAATGAATACTATTCATAAACACTCTATTAATCTTTTTGATTCGCTTCGAAGTGCTACAGTGAAGTTGAATCGATGGGTAAAAATGATATGAGAAATGAATATTATTCATGAACATTGTATTCATCTCTTTGATTCGCTTCGAATTGATAGAATGATGTTGGATCTATGAGTAAATATGATATGGCAAGTGAATACTATTGATAAGCATTCTATTCATCTCTTTGATTCAGGTCGAAGTGGTAGAGTGATGTTGAATTGTATAAGTAAACATCCTATCACAAATGGATACTATTCAACAACATTCTATTCATCCGTTTGATTCACCTTGAAGAGGTCGAATCATGTTGAATGTGTGACTAAACATCATATGACAAATGAATACTATTCACAAAAATTCTATTCGTCTCTTTCATTCGCTCCGAAGGGGTTGAATGATCTTGAATCGATGAGGAAGGATCATATGACAAATGAATACTATTCAGTAACATTATATTCAACTGTTTGATTCACATCGAAATTGTAGAATGATGTTGAATG